AGATTTACTTCAAAATCAATTACCAAATTTAAAATCGTACACAACATTTGTCTGTAAAATATGAAATGTAATAAACAACGAAACAGTGCGATTAAATTTAGCTCTTGAGTAAATATGTTCAATTTCTCCACCTTGTCTCTGGAGGATTGGAGAAGTGTCAGACACGCTTGGCATGTCTGGAAAAAGTCTTTAAGAGCCCCATTTACATTCAGCAGACAGAAATAAAAACCTATCTGGAGTTGTCCCCCAGCAGCCATTACGCTGCTCGCTTGATTCGGGAGAATTTAATAAACCCTCGGCTCTGCTCCGCACCTTTTCAAAAACGTAAGCGGAGAATTAAAGATGCATGAGATGAATGTGCTCTTTGTCTCCTCTGGTGACCACTGCATCTCAGCTCATCATGCTCACATAGTAATTAGGTGATGGGTTTGGAAATGTCATCAGTCATTTTAAAATATACTTTCAATGCCTTCAAGGATGTGAAACTGGGGCCTGACACTCTCATGACTTATTGGATGTGTACAGTAAAGCAGGGAACTAATCACAGGGGGTCAAACTAGAAAAATAGAGCACTTGAAGGTTCTTGAAAGCTAAAACAAAGTTTTGGGTACACAAATGAATTCTTGCCGTCATTAAAACTAAAACATTCACAGTGGAGAAAAGGCAACATGCAAATTTGTATGATCAAAATTGCTCAATGTGTTTCCTATTTTCTCGTCTGAACATCAAAATGGACAAAAATGACCGCCAATTGTGATGTGCTGACACGTTGTGTAATCAAAATTTGAGAACGAATCAGCCATCAGAGCAGCACAGGACCCAAAACCCAAACAGTCTGTACCCACTTACTGTTGTTTAAAAGTTTCTCCATAAACTTGTGTGCATAAACACTCTGACGCTAGAATATGATTTGGCTTTGAGGGGACTGGCACAAATGGCTTTGGTGGCTTACATCATGCCTGGGAGTCTAATCACAGACACTCCTGTCATATCAAGCAGAAAAAGTCCATTTCATAGAGAGCTGCGTTTCAACAAAAAGGAGAAAAAAGAGGAGGGAAGGGTAAACAAGCCCAGCGTTCCACAGCCACCGCAGAATTCATCATTCGCACAAAAAAGAAAAATACCTCAAGCCCAAAAGTAGAGCTAATTTAATCCGAGAGGAATAAAAACTCCATTTCATAGGAGTCGACCATTCAGAACACTCATATTTCCACTGAAGAGCAGAAACCCCCGGCTGAAACTCGAGCAGACACTTTTCGGAAGGAATGCATTCGGTGGGATGAGGGCTGAAGCTCGCCCTGTAATTTGTGAATGCGCAGAAAAGTGCGACGGCCGCAGTTTCTCCAAAGATAGATATCTTTGTCTTATGTCATCGCCGAACCTCAAAGTATTTCTAATTGGCCTTATGGCCCCCTTTTTTCCTCCCAAATGAATAACTACCCGTATCCAAAAGGGCTTATGTGTGCTCCGTCTGAAAATAGTCTGGGAGTTGACGCAAACTAATAGAGCGAATTCAGACAAAAACAAGATCTTTAAAGACAGCTCGATGCATCTGGGGCTGTTCCCAGCTTCAAAGTGACTTTTAAGTGGCACCGAAAGTCGTGTGGGTGGCGTTTAGATGCAGGTATGCATTGCAGACCCCAGAGGCTTCATGGTTTCTCTGCTAACGCTGATCATAGTCATATTAGTCGTTACATTCTGACTCATTACGCTTGAAAGGTTGAAGCGAACAGATAAAGGTGGAATCTTCTCATTGGTTCCTTTTTTTTTTGTTGTTTAGATCCCATCAGAATTTTAAAACGTTTGACATCATGCAGTAAACAATGATTTACTCTATTTCCCCCCTCCCTGAACGGTAAGAACCGTGCACGCCGAGGCCCTTTTGAGGTGGGTTTCACATATCCTCCAGGAGTTGTGTCTTGATTTCATGCTCAGCCCACTTGGATCATTAAAAATCGTTCAGGGGCACGGCGGGCTCCATCCTCAATGCCTGTGCGGCTGAAACTGTAGAAACTGTGTGTTGAAATGCAAAGGTCTAAATGTGACAGGCGCCCGGAGCGCACATTATGGCTGAGTGGGCTTTGAGCTGCATAATGTGGTCACGTATTAATAATGAACCGGAGCAGGATGACTAAAATATCACCAGCATTGTCACTGTCCCAGCTGAGCTGGACTTGAAATAGATGCTACATGACAGATGATCTGATTTTATTTTGAAATGAAAGTTGTAGCCATGATGATTGAAGCAAAAGTAAATAATTTGGTGCTTGGCCTGTTTTTTTTAATCAAAAGTGCTTAAATGAAATGGGGACAAATGTTTGTTTTGATGTCACACTTTAAAAAAATAAGAATTTATATATTTTTTTAACACTCAAGCTAAAGCAGTTTTTATGCCATAAGGATTTGTCTTGTAAAAAACTAAATTTATTTTACATTAAACCTCTTTATAGGAACAAGTGCACACAATTAAAGATTATCAGGGTGCTACAGAGTTTTAACATTTTATATTTAGGCAAGATGATGGAAAAAAAGAGCCAAAAGAGGAACCTAAATTATAGTTTTAGACTTAATAGATTAAGTAAACTGGGAAAATACAAGTTGTTTTTATTTGATCTGCCTTCATTTAGAGAAAAATGTGAGCATTAACAGCTTATTTGAGTAAAAGTTAAAGAATCTGAATTTTGCGTTTAATTTTGAAACCTCTTTTTTGTGCATGTCTCTGTCAAATTGCACCACTGATGAGAGGACACAATAAATTTATGTATTTATTTTTGTGCAACAACTTCAAAACCCATCTTGATTTTTTTTTTTTTAAATGAGCGGGAATTAACAATAACGTGACGAACGCACTTTAAGTGATCATTTTATTGTAAGATGGTCTGATTATTTTATCCAGATTTGCTGTGTTGCACCTGGCACGGCTCCAGAAAAAGTTTTAATCAATTCAGGTTCATAAATTCTCTCAGTGCTCAGCGGAAGGTGACGTTTTTAATTCAGTTAAATATTCTAACAATGCGTAAATGTTGCATTTTGAGTCAGAAATCTGACCTAAGACTTATCACGTGGCTCTAACGCGCAGACTTTTAATTAAATGAGCAAACAAAACCATTCATTTGTTGATTATTTGTCAACAATATTAGATTCAGGGGGTACGGCCTTAATTAGGGATCGAATATGGCAACAAAAATATCCCTGAAGAGGAATTAATTTAATCCCTCAGACAAATAAATTAAATTTTTTTAACCGTTTCTCCGCGCAAAGTTTAAAAAAAAAGATTAATGAAGTTTTTCTGCGTGTGAGCGTGCACGTCTGCTCAGACTGTCGGAGCTGATTGAAAAGACAAACGCGCCAACTAGTGTCAGAAAGGCGCATGGCTCCGAGTCTGCAGGGCGTGCTGTCACTTTATTAGTCAACTTTCTTTGTGCGTCTTTCTAATGAATTCAGCCTCAGGCACGCGCACACACACATTTATCACGGCTTCTTTTTGTGTTTGATGTGGAGAAAATAAAAAAATAAAAAACCCATTCTGCCGCTTGTTTAAATTTGACTATTTAATTCCTGATGAGTTAATTACCGAGATTAGAATCTGTCTCCAACCTCTAATTTCACTTGATGAATTCTCTTTTTAGTATTATTATTGTTATTATTTAGTCGGAGTGAAAGTATGGAGACGTGATGGCTTTTCGAGATGAATCTATGAAATTAAAACCACAGCCCATTCTTTGGAGATAAACTACAAACAGATCAAAAAATAAAACACAAAAAGGTCACGTGGTGTTTAATGGATTCTTGCGAAAACAGTCATTATTTGATTATTTTCCTTCATTTTAACACTTTAAAGCTCAAATTTTACACATCATCCAACTGCTTTAAAGGTAAAATCACCCCAAAGTCAATACAATAAACATGAATGCTGCTTATTTTTGTTTCATCTTCCTAAAATGTTCCATTTTCCCCTCACAGTGCCTCCTCATTTCTCTCCGCGGCGCGTAAAAGTCTCGTCCAAAGCGCACAAAAACACAGCAGATCAGAGATGGTTATCAATAATTCAGCTCGTGTGTGTGGATGCGTGTGTGTCTGTGTGAGAGACACAAACTGGGCAGAGCTCTAGAAAAGGAGCAGCGGGGTTTGATTGGTCTGCCAAAGCCCAGCCCCGCGCGCTCATTGGCTCCGATCAACCACTGAACGCTGAAATGAGTTAGGTGAAAGAATCTCGCGGCACTCTGCAGTGTGTTCGAGCTCACTGCTCCTTGTTGCGACTCTGCGCATGAAGGATAACTTGGTTTATTATTTTTTTTACAAGGGAAATCCAGCTGGAGCGACGGGATCGATCCAGCTCTTTGTTCCGGTTTTGGTTTTGGGAAACCGGGATCGGGTTGCAAGGACTTTTTTTTTTTTTTACGCACGAAACGAACCTGAACTTCAGCATCGACTTGACTCTTTATACTCAAGCTGAGAAATTCAGAGCTTTTATTCCAGATCTGAAGGAGGTTTGACTTTGACAGCTATTTTGGTTTTAGTTTTTTATTAGTATTGGGTTTTTTTTTAAAAGTTTAGCCAAAACATCCTTTAAACTGGATTGAACGATTTGCTTTGTATCGCGGCTGGATAAAGATTTTTTATTTTAAACTATCAGTAAATTATTTGGTTGAACCTGGATCTGACGTGAGGTCCAAAGCAGTTTGTGGTGTTGCTGTATTGTTTACACGCGGCTGGAAGTATTTAAGTGTGCGGTAGATGAGAGCGCAGATAGACATCCAGCCTCGCGCACGCTTTGGACAGCTTCGCTTTGCATGTTTTGTTGCAGAGGCACCAACCTTGATGTTCTCCAACTTTACGCATCATGAGCAGATGATCTAAAAGTCTCCACAGAGCTTAGTGCTTTTTGTTCAAGACTCTGCTGTGCGCCTTCACCTCCACCCTTTTACGCTCCTGAATTCAGCTGCGTCTGGAGCAAAGCAAAGAAAGAAAAAAGACTGAATAAACTGTTTTTTCCTCCAAAGAGTTCGGCTCTTCTCATACAACCCAGTCAGGTGGCACTGACCCCAGCTGTTGTGATGCATATTCCCGTAGAGCCGCCCACCACCAGACGGTTCACGCCGCCCTCCACGTCCTTCCCCTGCAGCAAGATTGGAGACGCCAACGGCTCCATGGCCACCCCGGGGCCTCTCAGATCCAGACCGGACACCAGGAACGTGGTGGACGTCCTCGCGGACCACGCCGGCGAGCTGGTCCGGACCGACAGCCCCAACTTCCTGTGCTCTGTCCTGCCATCTCACTGGCGCTGCAACAAGACGCTCCCCGTGGCTTTCAAGGCAAGACAGATGGCTTTCTAATCATTTGTGTTTTCTCTTTTATGATGCATAATGTCATTTAGATAGAAACAAATAATTTAATTCCATAAAATGGTTAAAGATTTGGACGCATCAGTCTGTCAAGCTTGTTTTAAGAGGAGCTGCAGAAGAACAGGAACAAAATGCTAAACAGTTTTATTTTAAAACTAATTTTTATGCTTTTTGTAACAGGACAGCTTTGTGTGGGTGTGCTGTTTTATTTATTTTTTTGTATTTCTCAACCATCTTAGATCTAAATTTGAAAAACGCTAAGAATAAAGACAAAAACAGGAAGCAGGGCATCGTATTTATATAAACACCGCACCTCCATCCATACAGAATTTATGCATCAATATTGCTGACATTGAAGGGAAACTGTAAAGACATTAAGTCCAATGAGAGCCGGTGCGGTTTTACGCGCGTCGTGCGCATCTGGTTCGGTGACCCGGAGTGACCGACCCACCTCCTGCTTGTCTCCCGCCGCGCAGGTCGTGGCTCTCGGAGACGTTCCGGACGGGACTCTGGTCACCGTGATGGCCGGGAACGACGAGAATTATTCGGCGGAGCTGAGGAACGCCTCGGCGGTGATGAAGAACCAGGTGGCGCGCTTCAACGACCTGCGCTTCGTGGGCAGGAGCGGACGAGGTGAGCCCTGAAAATCTCTTTCATCTGGGATTTATGCCGTGCTCTGTAAAATTAGGAAAAGTTTCAGATTTTAATCTTACCCATGAGCGCACTGACTGTTATTTATCTTTAAATTTATTAGTGAAAAGGATCAAATCTCGTATTTTTCCACAGACGCCAACAGGAAACTTGGACGGAAAACGCTCTGCAGAAATACATTTTTTTTAATGGTTTTGGTCAGATTTCTTTAATAGATCTGCAAATAATTTGGGTTTGGCTTTGCCAGCTCATCCCACACATCTGGCCTGCGTCACGGTGCGCGCACGCAACGTGTCTGTTTCATTTTCCTAATCCAGAAGGATAGAAATAATTACCCACGTGGTTCAAATAAAAATAAAAATAACAATAAAACCGCTTGGCAATTGATGTCCTGGGGCGATCTGTGGAATTATCCGTTCAGGGATGCAGGTTAAACTCTAAAAGGAGGTTTTAAATTGTTTTAAAGTGTTCATAAAGAGCCACGCATCAACAGGCCTGCATGCAGGATGTTGTGGTTGAAGCGCATCTGCTGACTGATTTTTTTTTTTTTTTTAATTATATTTCTTGAGTTCTGATCAAGTAAATCAAAACCTCCTAATGCCCAATTATATAAACTCGATTATTCTCAACTTGAAAATGATTTACAAGCCTTGTTGTTGTGAAACACTTATTTCGAAAATATATTTTTCGAAAATGTGAGATTACATTTGATGCGTAAAAGCGGTGCCAGGATTTAACAAACACATAAAATGTAGTTTAATTTTCATTTCTGCAGCTAACATTCTTTTCAGTCCTCCTACGCGGTTTGTTTTTTTTGCAGAGATGCCTCCATTATCTTTTTTCTTTCTTTCTCACAGCCATCAGGGCCGCGCGCTGCAGCCTTCCTCTTTCTGCAGATGTGAGAACGATTCTGTCTTGTTGAACATTTGCTGCAGGCCTATTTATTTAATCTGCAAGATATGATCGCAAAATACGAAATCAGACCCGCGGACAAACCTTAAAAGTGCTGAAAACTTTTTTTTTTTTCTTTTTTAATTGACAGAGAAAAAAAAGAAAGAAGACAAGATGAAAAAAAAAAAAAGTTGCAGAAAATGACGTTTTACAGAAGTTTTGATGTTTTGCTGCAGGAAAGAGCTTCACTCTGACCATCACAGTGTTCACCGGACCGCCACAAGTGGCCACCTACCACCGCGCCATCAAAGTCACCGTGGATGGACCCCGGGAACCGCGCAGTGAGTCCACGCAAGCGCACAAACATCCTATTTCTGTAACTTGCGCTGAGACGTGGAGTCCAAATGCATTTGATGCAGAAAAGTCAGAGCAGGTCTGAAATGTGTGGGTGTCCTGTTTATCACGAAATATCAGAAGCGCCAAAATCCTTTTTGTTTAATAAGATTTGTTTTGGGTTTAAGACTTTTTTTTTTATGTTAAGATTAAAAAAAAAAGAAGCTCTGGTTAAATGTGAGGTTAGTTTTCACAAAGGATGAAGTTAGAGAAGCTAAAACCGACGCATATTCAGGACCACTAAGAGGAGCAGAGAGAGTCTCCAAGCCACAAGTGGTTCAGGATTTGTGAAACCCTCTTCCTCTTCACAGCTTCCTCGGAGCTGGTCAAAGGGCTCTCACCTGCCTGACCACATGATTACCTCAGTGATGTAGTCCTGGCCCTGAAGCTGCTCACTGCTTTCTCATTTGGTTCAAGGCTCAGAATCAAGTGAGCTGCTGGAGGTTAAGTCTGTGAGGCTCAAAGATAGACGAGATGTGTAACGTTTCACGACCGTCTCCATGAAGGGGCTGTGTTTATGGAGACACTAAAAGGTCTCAGAGCACACAGCTTGTGTGGCGGTGGATACCGGGACAGGCTGGATTTAACCCAGTCAAAACAGAGCTCAGAGGAACATAGAGAGCAGGAGCGAGTGTCACATGAGAAGGGATATGGATGGCACGGAGAGACGAGGGTCATCGCGTCCCCCCCCCTCAGTCAGGCTGGATGCTATTTGTAGAGGTATAAAAGAGAGCTGTGACCGCAAAGGCAGAAAGGACTTAATAATAAATGCTGCATGTATGATTTCAATTTGATAGGCTTTTGCTTAACATAAAAACAGTTCCTACAAGGATATGTGTGTGAGTACACGTGTGTGCCAGTTTGAAATAACCATGCATATCAAAGTTGTCTCCTGTCTGTCCGTCAACACTTTGCGACTCCAGCGGAGGCGTCAGAGTGGCTCTAATGCTTTTACACTTGTGCTATAAAGTGACACTGTTAAATATATGCCAGAGGGAATTTAAGGCTCTATGAATCCACCAATTGCACCGAGTCAGGGGAGAAAATAAACGTTTGCATAATGTAAAAATGCATCCAGGTCACATTTCTGCATGCTCAACCTGCAAAACCCCATAACAGATGGGATGTGAGGCATTGCATTGGTGGAAACATTCAATCTTTTACACTAGCAGGGGAAATTACTTCAATATTTCCCAATAGAGTTTTGAAAAGGCAGCATATTTACACTGCCCTCCGTATTTTTGCTTAAAGTCTGTCGGATCTGAAGCCGAGATGACGCTTTGACCCACTGGCGTGCTAAAGAATTCACAACCTCCAAAATAGAAATCGCACGAGGCAGAATAAAAGAGCACTCATATTTAAAACAAGGAGCACATTTTAAGAGTCGTGTTCCAGCCCAGTGAACAAAAAGAGGAACACACGCTACTATTCAGATATTATAAAGCCCATTAAAAAATCTGATTCTTTTTTTTTTTTTTACCACAAGGCACTGCATTATATCAGCTGTCGAGCTAACGTAGACAGGCCCTGTTGCCAGCACACACACATAAAAGAAAATAAAAGCATATTCACGTTTTGAATCTCATCCTTTTTGGACAGTTATAGTAATATATTTATCTATGTGTATATATAAATTCCCAAATGAATTTTTATTGTTTACGATGTGGCCGTGCATCTGAGTACACTTGGATGGCGTTCTGCTCACCTGTCCACAGGCTGCATGCAGGGCCAGTCCTTTACAGACTGTTTGTGTAGGGGCTTCTGCATTTGCATGGCTGCTATCTGAGCCACGGTGGAGCTGGCACTAAATGGGAAGGGAGGAGGAGGTTTTTATTAATGTTTGCTGATCCAGTCAAGAGAACCTGATGGACAGGACTGCAACGGTGGCTCGCCTGGGGCGCTGTAACAAAGAGCGCCATGCCTTCTGAAAACACCTGAGCAGTAAGTTAGTCACACATAGTTGTATTTAATGTATTTTCACATGCGCAGACATGTGAATTAGATATAAATACACTCACAGGGGTGCTGCCCCTGAGTAGAAGGCATGTTCTGCTAAGTATTCTCGTCTTCTTTTCTGCTGATTTCCTCATCGCACATCCGGCACTCGTCATACCCCACCCCCCACCCTCCAACACACGCCACCTCCCCCAGATCTATCAGTCATGTTTTATTATCAGACTTCTGCTGAGCTCAAACTGGAAACTTAACGCTCGTAACTGTCGTTGACAGCTCTATCTGAGGAGCAGCCCTATCAGTGACTACTGTAACTTAGCAAAAAACACAAATGCATCAAATGCAACAAAAAAAAATAAAAGACTAAAGAGTGGATTTGCTTCCACACAGGAGTTGATCTCACCAAACAACCCTTTACTCATTTCACCTCTCACCCAAACTTTAACATGACATCAACCGTCACCTACAGAGGAGCGTTTTTATTTCTGTATCTGTTAACGTTAAATGGCCTCGTGAGAAGCGTCTCACGGTGGCCCAGGCGAGACCAAATTAGAGTCAGAATTGTACTGAGCTTGTGAAATTATATTCAGAAGTAACGTTTGCGTTTGGTGGGATGGGTGGAGGTCTCCATGTTGAATATAATACCCTTACAGAAACTGTGTAAACATTTCATTAAAAACATGCAAACGATTACAGAAAATGTAAAATATCATTTATTTTCTCTAATTAATACTTGACGCTTGTGCGTTTATCACATCAATGACGAACCTTAACCGTTGTTTTGAATGCATTGGTGAAATTTTACAATCAGCGGAGTGAAACGCTCACTCTAACGTGGCACGTTGTCTCATGATACTCGAAAATGATACTCATGAATGGGTCCTGACCGCTAACATCATCACACAGTGTATGTAATACCTGCATGCATCAAGATAAAGGGGATACACTTCACTACCCAAAGGCCTACACAGCTACCAAAATCACAAGCACCGTCGTGTTTTGTTGCTCTATTTACTCGTCTGGGTGTGTTCGCTCAGCACCAGGAGGAGAATGATGGGCGTGGGGTGGGGGGCATGTTCGAGCTGGCGGGTTGCTTTTATTTGCATTTGGCACACAGACTGTACAAAGTATGCAAATAGACAAACAATGACATTTGCTGTGTTATTTTTCCTGTGATATTGCAGTCTCTCTGCAAGGTAAACAAAAAGGTCGCATGCGTGTGGACGCATTTGCGTGTGCGTGTGCTCATGCACCTGCCAGGTGCATCTCTTTAAAAAAATCGGCCCCCGCCTAGCCACGCCCATGCTTCACAAATCACATGAAAGGCTGCCCCTTGGTGCGAATTGCTCTCTCAAAGGCAACTTTGATGTTTGAAAGAGGAGCCGGGCGTCTTTGAAAGAAAGGCCTACAGGTGTATTAGTGCCAGGGGAGGGGGAAAACAGTGGCATGTGTGACTCTGGGTGCTTTCCTGACTACTAAAGGCTCTTTATTAATTCTCCATCTATAACCTGGAGAAATAGTGGCCTGAGCGTGCACACAATCGCTCATATTCTCAACAGCAGAACTCGTGACCCCCTAGTTTATGATTTGGTTGAGGAGATGGTCTTCCCCCGATGCCGCACTGACAGACGATAATAAAAATAAAGACACATTTAATGACTTCTTAAATGAAAACGACAGGATAACGACTGGAAGTTGTCAGCTGCAGCATCTTTTCTCCCTGGGGTCACTTCTGACAAATCATGCACAGCCCCCGCAATTGGAAATAGAGCAAATATTGGCCAGCTGATGAATCCACCGGATTGCGGCGATGCGTGCTGATTAGAGTCGGGCCTTGTGCTGGAATGAAACATTCACCACGCTTCTGAGGTTTAAGGCTTGTGATGGGATCCTCCTGTCATTAATTTTCGAATGCCACTTTTTTTATGACCGTTGGTTGCTGTCAGACACATCAAAACAACGTGAACAAGTTTTGTGTGGGTGGATGTGCGCGTAAAAGTAAATAAAAGGGCTGCGATGGAGGCTCTTTGACCACTGTTCCCACCTTAACCACATCTAGAAGCTTTGAGGCCAATTCCCTTTGCGGGCGACGCACGTATTCACACGCAGCTGTTTCTAATCCCACTTTAGCTTTTGTGCTCGGGTTTTTCTATGAAAGCAGATGTAATTGGTATAAGCACCTCAGATGCAATAGAAAAAAAAGAAAATATAGCAGTTGGTCTAATTTTTCTCTGTCGCTGCATGCATCAGCGTCACTGCACAAGTTTCTGCTAAAAACGAGGAAAAAGAAGATCATTGTGTTTAACAGCAGCTCAATGCCTCCTCCTCCAGGCTAGCTGATGACTGTCAGAGGCACACGCACAATAGCTTGGAGGATGAAATAAATGCTCTCTCTTTTTTCCACCCAGATAAAAAAAAATTATCCACCCTATATCTGCTGACGCCAGTAAGAACACCAGGACACATTAAAAATTACCTAATTATTTACAGCAAAACCTCAGAAGGTACTTTTTTCACACTGGTGATGCAAGCAGAGGATAGTTTCTGAGAATTGGATGAGAAGCTCAGTCAGCCTCTGCTCACCCCTTTATCCCCCCCCCCCCCCACGCTGAACTCACCAGCCAAGCGTCTTTCCTGTTTACCCACCTATGAAGGGAAGTAAATGCCCACTCTGTGCGCGCTCACTCTTCCTTCTGCACACTGACCCATACAGGAGGGAGCCATTACGACCTTTCAGCTGTAATTCAATAAAAGTTCTGATCTGCGTTTAGAAATAAATAAACGCTCCACGAATAGAGGAATATTTTTTTACGCTGCTGCGTTATGACAATAAACCGTTTTCTGTGCTGGGACAGTGGGCACAGGGGCGGTTTGTGGGGATGAGGCACCTGCTGGTTACTGGAAAAGACGGTGTGTGCCACCACACTGCGGTTTGGATATTTATTTCTCCAGGCCTTAAATAATGGGCGCAGCAAGGTCTTTCTTTTTGAGTCCA